ACCCTCTAGAATGGCTACTTGAGGTGAAGGGAGAGAGGTGATGACCCTATAAGTTTGGGCTCTCTAGGCTGGAAAAAGGACACTCTGGCCAGAACCATCTTCTCGCTGGGGTCTTTTGTCCATACTTTTTTTTGAAACATTAGCTCAGACAAGGGAAGATCCCTCAGTGTTCTGAGAAGGACCCTTAACGTCCTGAGCAGCTGATGGAGGAGCCTCGTTGAAAGTTTCAGAGGGTCCATCGTTCGGCAAAGTGGGCTGAACTTCAACCGAAATGGATGCAGAGGGTTTAGTGGTAGAACACCCCGTGTTCTGAGCCGTAACTGGAATGGTTAGAATGGTAACAGAAGTGACCAGTGTTGCTGCATGAGCAGCTATAAAAGAGGGTCTTCTTCTCCTACTGAACGAGGGAATCTGAATATGTGCCATGGTAGCACCAAGGATTGAAATGTCAGAAAAATTGTCTAGGGAAAGCAGGTCAGTGGCAGATGGGACGTCGTTCAGAACCTTTTCCTCCAGAAGGTCAATTCTAGCCCTACAAACGCTATAAACCAATTCGTCATGAGGAAAGCGAAGGTAGTCACAAAGAAAAGTACAGAAACGAAGAAGGCAAATTTCATAATGATAATCGGCCGGGTGTTTCCTAAACTTCTTGTACAGAGGGATAGAACATTCTCCAAAAGTAGTCGAGATAGGGAAAGTCTGAGCAAATGGAGTTCGCTAATTTCCACTGACCCCAATTAGATTTTTTCTCCAACCCTTTTCAGAGGAGAGCTTGTCCGTACAAATAGATCGTTTCTCGATGGGAAAGAAGTGAAAGTACATATCATTGGTTCTGATTTTGGTAACTCGGTAGCAAAGTACATATCATTGGTTCTGATTTAATTAACCATTGGTTAATTAAATCATATATCCTATATATATATATATATCATTTCATAACACTTATTAATTGATTATATTTATATATAATTACATATATATATTTATAATTATACAAAAAATGATCATTTAAATAATCAAATAATCATGAGCCTTTATTTATTAACCCAATAAGGCTTCCTTAAAGCCCAGGACCATATCCATTGGTCCCACTGCTCTTAAGCCCAATCCAATTAAAATAAAATAATTAAATTAATTAACAAGGCTTAGATTAAAATAACTAATTACATGAAGCACATAAATAAAATAAGAAATTACAATCAAGTCACACCATACCAATAAAATCAACACATTAATAATTCAATCAATAATCAAATACACACACAACAATCATCATATCAATCATGAAATATAATTTTAATGAAAGCAAGACAATTAATTTAAGCACTCAATTTAAATAAAACAAATTATTTAAAAATTAAAATAAAAGCAATTAAACCCTAATAAATCAAACAAATTATTTAAAAATAAAATAAAAATTAATTAATTCCAATTAATAAATCCTTTAAAATATCGGGGTATTACACAGCTCATCCTAAAGAGAGTCTCGCTCGTTCTTTAGGGCATCCCTCTCAGCCTTCAAAGTGTTTATTTCTTTCTTTGAGTTGTTCAGTTTGACTAACAACTCTGTATTCTTGGCTTTGGTTATCTTTTCTGATTCAACAGATCTGTTAAGGCCAATAGAGAGGGCCTAATTCTTTTGTTCGCTGTTTCAAGAGTCCTCTGGAAGGTGATCATCCCAAACAGAGTCTGCACAAAAACACAAGTGTTCTGATAAGTACAATTGCAAGGAGATTTGAACAGGGAAAATGAATGAAAGATAGTGCAAAAGAAAAGAGAGTTACCTCCATAGCGGCTGTAGGAAAACGGCTGTACATCCTACTGCAGGTCATTTTCTCCTGAGTCTAAAGATCCTTGGGGTCCAAATGCCCCTGTAGTAGGCAAAGGAAGTGACAGGATCCTTAAACATAGAGTCTGTAGAGGCCACTACTGGACTATCCTACCGCTTGAGTAAGGTGCGCCATGGAACCACTGCTGGGGAGGAGATAGAGGTCTGGCTGATTCACCCTCTAGAATGGCTACTTGAGGTGAAGGGAGAGAGGTGATGACCCTATAAGTTTGGGCTCTCTAGGCTGGAAAAAGGACACTCTGGCCAGAACCATCTTCTCGCTGGGGTCTTTTGTCCATACTTTTTTTTGAAACATTAGCTCAGACAAGGGAAGATCCCTCAGTGTTCTGAGAAGGACCCTTAACGTCCTGAGCAGCTGATGGAGGAGCCTCGTTGAAAGTTTCAGAGGGTCCATCGTTCGGCAAAGTGGGCTGAACTTCAACCGAAATGGATGCAGAGGGTTTAGTGGTAGAACACCCCGTGTTCTGAGCCGTAACTGGAATGGTTAGAATGGTAACAGAAGTGACCAGTGTTGCTGCATGAGCAGCTATAAAAGAGGGTCTTCTTCTCCTACTGAACGAGGGAATCTGAATATGTGCCATGGTAGCACCAAGGATTGAAATGTCAGAAAAATTGTCTAGGGAAAGCAGGTCAGTGGCAGATGGGACGTCGTTCAGAACCTTTTCCTCCAGAAGGTCAATTCTAGCCCTACAAACGCTATAAACCAATTCGTCATGAGGAAAGCGAAGGTAGTCACAAAGAAAAGTACAGAAACGAAGAAGGCAAATTTCATAATGATAATCGGCCGGGTGTTTCCTAAACTTCTTGTACAGAGGGATAGAACATTCTCCAAAAGTAGTCGAGATAGGGAAAGTCTGAGCAAATGGAGTTCGCTAATTTCCACTGACCCCAATTAGATTTTTTCTCCAACCCTTTTCAGAGGAGAGCTTGTCCGTACAAATAGATCGTTTCTCGATGGGAAAGAAGTGAAAGTACATATCATTGGTTCTGATTTTGGTAACTCGGTAGCAAAGGAGAAGGTCTATGATATCTAAGTCAAGATTCCTATCACGATTTAAAATCAAGAAAACTGATACTACCCTAAGGAAGTTAGGGTTAACCTAAAGAGGAGAAAACCCTAATTTGCTGAAGACATAACAAAAAAACTAGTGTAAATGAAATCTAACTACATTCAAGTGAAGAACAGAGAAGAGGACCTCCCTTGGAAGAAGACCCTCACCAGATCTCTCATCTAGGTCCTCAGGATAAACCCTAAGGAAGATGTCATTAGAAATTTTGTTCCTCGAACGAAGAGCCTCTAAGTCAGGAACCATAATAATGGCGGAAAAGATTTTCGATTCTAGATTTTCTTTCTTTGGAGAAAAATAGTAAGGATTAAAGCTTTTGAAAAAACAGTAAGGAATATAAACTAACCTTAGAAGGAGGGTTTGCAGAATACACCGTAGCAAAGCAAGAGATGAAGAATCACAAAGGGGAAACTCACCGGAGAAGACAAGGAAAGCTCGCCGGAGAAGACTGGTAGTTGGCGGAGGTAATTAGAAAGGATGAAGCTTGAGGATGAAAGTGAGAAAAACAGAAGAAAGGCAAAAAGTGAAGCTTGGGTTTTTAAAGCGAAAATGATTCAACATCCAAGGAGCTATGACAATAATGGTGCAGCGAATCTCAAAATGTGGGTCTTTGAGCCAACTATTCGCTTCCCAACGTCACTGCCTCAAGCCGTCATATCATGATTATGTCCTTTCGATAATCTCACCCTAATTAATTAGGGAGAGATTATGGGAGTAGCTGAGGATACCAAAAATGGCCTGGGCCGGGCGCGACCCAGATTACTAGGAATGGGTCGGGCAAAAACAATCAACCTGAACCAAGTCTTCATTGATTAGGCCTAAGACCGGAAGATCATTTTGGAAGCCTGGTTTAAGATGAAAGGAAGTGGGCTCATAACCAAGATGAGCCTAGAAGGTCAGCCCAACGTAAAGAATTAGTTAGGAAGCTTCTAAAATGTTTGTAACAATTTATAAATAGACTGAAAAGAGAGGGAAAATGGGTTGAAAAATATTGAAAGTGTAGAATTATTCTTTTGAAATTGAGAGAGTATTTTTCTTGCATCTTCAATGTCAGATACAACAACATCTCATCTTTGCTTACTTGTTTGGCTACAAGATTATTCATTTTTGGAGTATTATATATATATATATCTATTTATATAAAAAAAATTGTGTAAAAATTAATTTTTTATATATTAAAATTATATTACTATTTCATTGTCGTATCAATATCTCATTTTTTTTAAAATTTGTACTTGTATTCACGTCGTGTTATACTTGTGTCTCATGTGTTTCATAACTTTAAAATGTTAGATTGATAATCTTATCTTAAAATAAATCAATAAAAAAAATAGAAGTAGGTGTAATGTGTATCAAAGGAGAGGGGAGGATGAGTTGGATGGATGTTTTTAGTTGTTCAACGGTCGGTGAGCAAAAGTTTTTACAAAAAGCCATTAGGCACGTAGGTCGGTCGGTGTAATTAAACAATTAGGACTACTCATTGTTACCCAAGAAAGAAAAGCGTCAATACTATTATTATATAAAACAAACGGATTATGATCTTATTGTTATTTACTAAAAGTATTATTATTAGTTACTAGCAGCAGCACAGGTGGCAACAAAGGAAAGGGAGGGAGAGGCCCACCTTGAAGATGAAATTGGATAAAAGCGTGTGCGAAAACCGCGTACTCAGTGGAACCGATTACTATTTGCCACGTGGTGCGTGATGGTGGACGGGACAGGCCCCTTCACCCCCTTGCTAAAATATAATAATAATATCCTTTGCTAGACTGAGCAGACCCGATGATATACTATTTACTTATCTCGTTTTTTAAGGCTTATTTTTGCTCTTTTTTTTAGTAAGTAACATATTAGACTAGTTAGTACCAGTCGAGTAGTAGTAACTATAAATGAAATGAAATGAAAATAAAAGTGGGAGGACGGACAGCTGTCGCAATAAGCATAGCTAGATTATCAAAATTAAAATACTTTTATAGTATAAATTTGATTTTTCTTCCAGAAAATATGTGTACGTGTCTATCTAATAATATTTATGATCCATTGGAGTGGCACCTCATGGGACACAATACAATACAACCTTCTTCATTGGCAGGTCAATTAATTCCATTGACTGACTCCCTTAACAACCCTAATGTATGTCTCTCTATAAATCGGGTCCTCCCAGTACTCCCACTTCCACCTCCTCCGTTGGAATATTTTTCTTAGGCTAATGTTTTACTTTATATATATATTGTGAATATATTGTTGATATTGAAAGAGAGACTCAGTGTCAGTACTAGCTAGTAGTGGATTCTGAATCGCTCAATCCTTTTTTTTTTAGTCTTTAATTTGTCTTCCTCATCATCTTCTCTGGCTCCCATCTACTTTGTTCATTTTTGTGTTTACAGTAAAAGCGATCCATCATATATATATATATATATATATATATATTGTGAATATATTGTTGATATTGAGAGAGAGACTCAGTGTCAGTACTAGCTAGTAGTGGATTCTGAATCGCTCAATCCTTTATTTTTTTGTCTTTAATTTGTCTTCCTCATCATCTTCTCTGGCTCCCATCTACTTCCTTCATTTTTGTGTTTACAGTAAAAGCGATCCATCAATTTCTAGCTAGGTTGGGATTTGGGATATACGTACATGAATGGCCTCTTATAATAATATGCAAGAAGATGATTATGATGAAGACGATGATGACGATTCTTCGATGACGAGGATGTTCATGTCAAGGCTATCAATTGACAACTTTGATGCGGATCACGAGGAATTATCGGATGATCACAAAGACGCAGGTAATTTTTTGTCTTGGGACTCGCAACCATCATCGGTGCCGGCCACACCAAGGAGGAATATGAATCAGCAGCTCCTAATCAAAGACTATGCCAGCGAGAGCGAAGCTCAAAAGAAAAAGATGATGATGAGGAGGAAGAAGAAGACGAAGAGAATGAGAAGGCCGAGTAGGAGGATGGTGAGGGAGAGAATTAGATGGCAGCTGGATAGGGCTGCAGCTTGCAATTGGGATAATATTGATAATACAGCTAGTTGCAGCAGCAGCAGCAACAGGAAGAACAAGAAAGGCATGGATGATCATCATTTGCACTACAATTACATCAAACATAATTACAACAACATATGCATGCTGAGAGAGAGCGAGGGACATGGAGGAGGAGGAGGAGGAGATCCGTTGATGGTGATAACAAGGCCGAAAGGAGGGAGAACGTACCTTTGTATGGACTTGGAGGAAGTGAAGGCCTGCAGGGATCTTGGTTTTGAATTGGAACACCACCACCATCAACACATGCCAACTACAGTATTAACGTCCACCACCCTCGACACCAGTAGCGGCAGCAACTCCCCCGTTGCCAATTGGCGTATCTCCAGCCCTGGTATTTATCTCTCTGTGTATATATATTTGCACCCTTATTTTTTCGAACGGTAAAAAGAAGAGAGAGAATATTTGCACCCTTATCTACTTTTCAAAATTAAGGGGTAGCTGAAAGCACCATAAGTATCATTCATTGGGAGTACTCAGTATTGTCTAGTAGTAATATTTTTAGGGCCACCGCAAACAATTAAGAACTTTCAAGGACCAATAATTGTTATAGTTATTATAATAATTTTCACTTTTAACTTTTGATTAATTTGACCGATGAAAGCAAAAACCAAGCAAATTATAGATATATTTACCATTTTATCATACAGAAACCCAATTGTGCAGTCTTACATATATATATAAATTTTGTTAAATTCAGGTGATGACCCACGAGATGTCAAGGCTCGACTCAAATTATGGGCGCAGGCTGTCGCGCTTGTATCTACCTCGACCCCAAGACAGGGCTGCTGACCTCACCTCACCACATCATCATTCTTCTTCTTCTTCTTTCTTCCCTGCTTGCTAATAGTTATTTTTCTTTTTTTTCCTTTACATAACAATTGCTTCTTCATTTTTATTTTTACAGATCGAACAATAGTTTCTCCATTTTTCTCTCATGGGTGATTCTTAAATTCCTTTTCCTAGATCTCCCTTTCTCTCTCCACCTCTCTTTTCTTCTTATTCTTCATCTTTTTCAGTCTATACATCATAATTTTTACTCTGTAAATAAAACGCTATATGTAGAAGATGGAGACATAATTATATAGAAGATATATGGGCCGGTCACAGACTCACAGAATCCACTTGGTTTTGTTATATTTTTTGGGATTTGAAGGACTTAAAATCCGGAATTGCATCCGTAACTTCTTTATGCAGTTGCTTATGAAAATGCAAGCATGTTATATTATTATTGGTTAGTCTCAAACACTCTCCTTTACCATCCAGCCGCTAATGGACCAACTTATGCAAGCATGTTATTGTTGTACCCAGGGCCAGAGCCCAAAAAAGGGGATGAGGTAAATTAAATTTACATAAGGAAAAAATTATAAAGAACAAATACAGAATAAGGGAAACAATTTAGGGTAGAAAAAAGAAAAGAAAAGAAACATATATACAACATAAGGCAAGGAGAAAATTCAAGGGCACTTTACATGTTTTCTAAAATTTAAAAGGAAAATGATTTTCACACTGAGGGTTGCATTGAATTGTTAGACCCTATATAATTAGTTATTTATAGAACAAATAAGGGAGTGGAGTCCTCCACTTACTTGTATTTAACATAAATAATCAATCAAAAATCATTAAGTTAGGCAATTAACTACAAATCTTTTGTGTGAGTATCACTGCTCAAACCAAAATAGAGGCAAACATATTACCGTTGTACCAAGGACTCTTTCTTAGGGGTGCACACGGTTCAGTTTGGACCAATTTAAGAGTTTTTTTGGAACCAAATCAATTCTAACAAATTCATAAAATTTAGAACCAAATCGAACCATTTGACTAAAGTAACCAAACCAAACCAAATCGTGAAAACCGGTTCGGTTCCACGTTTTATTTTATTATTATTATTTTTTTAACAAAAGTATTCATATTTCAAAACCTACCACATGCATAACTATAAACCAAGTTACCAATACATTCAGAATTATTAATACATTCAGAACTTTTAATTCATTCTTCTTTATCACTTCTGTAACTTAAGTGAATAAATTCAAAATTGCTAATAACCTAATACATTTATAATTACTAATTCAACAACAAACAATGAGATACAACCATTTATATATATATATATATATATGTATGTATGTATGTATGTATGTATGTATCTATAAAAGAATCATCTAATAAGTTAATAAGACCTAAGATAATTAAGAATGAACCATATGATTGATAGTTGCTACAAACTTCTAAATGATTTGGATTGTAGGATTATATTATATTATATATAGTGTATAATTTAACATATATATATATATACACACATATAACATAACAGTTTCGTTAAGTTCGGTTCGGTCTAGTTCGGTCATAAAGGACCTCAAATCGTGACCAAAGCGTATCTTTACGGTTTCACAAATTTAGAATCGTGACCGAACCAAATCTAACTGTCCAGTCCGGTTTGATCCGATTTGGATTTTCGGTTTGACAGGATTTTTGTGCACTCCTACTCTTTTTAAATGAAGACTACGTACGCAAATATGCAATAAGTACTCAAATACTCTAACACCCATCAAGTTTACCTTTATTATTCACAGATTAAACTAGTGATAAATAAAGCCTGAACCTCCTTTTAGGTTTGATTTGTTTTGCCCTTAGGCACATCAAAGTCAACTATTTTTTAAAATAAAATATCAATTCTACCCCTCCTTCATTTAATTAATTCATTAGACTTTTTAAAGTGTATGTAATTTTACCATTATATCCTTCATTTAATTAGCTTACTTTCTCAATTAACTTTCCAAATTTTTACCAAATTTATAAATATTAAATGACGTGTATATATATATATATTATCAGTGGCAAGAAACTCAAACACCTCACTTACACACCCATTTTGCTTATTTAAGTTTCGTTTGGATACACAGGAAAAAAAAAAAAAGAAAAGGATTATAAGAGAAAAGAAAAGAAAAGAAAAAAAAGAAATGATAGTTATAATTTATATTTATGTTTGGATAAATAAGAGAGAAAAGAAAGGAATGGATAATATTCTTGTTTGGATAACACAGAGGAGAGAAAAGAAAAGAAAAAAATAATAGTTAAAATTACAATTTTACCCTTTTTTGTGGTGTTAGTAGGGCAAATCATTTCAGCCACCCCAATGCCTCCATCTCTGTTCTCGTTACTTTCCTATCCCCCCCTTTCTCTCTCTCTTTTTGCAACTGCTAACTTGTATGTAATGGGTTTTGTTTTGTTTTAATTTTTCTTCTAAATCAACTAACCAAGGTCTGTACTTTATAAGCCCATGGATGATGGCCACTAGAATATATATATATATATATATATATATATATATATATATATATATATAGGGCAAATCATTTCAGCCTCCCCGGCCCAATGCCTCCATCTCTATTCTCGTTACTCTCCCCCCCTCTCTCTCTGCAACTGCTAACTTGTATGTAATAGGTTTTGTTTTTTATTTTATTTTTTTATTTTTTTCCTTTCTAAATCAACTAACCAAGGTCTGTAATTGATATTTAGGGCAAATCATTTCAGCCTACCCAATCGCCTCCATCTCTGTTCTCGTTCTCAACTCTGAATTTGCCCCCCCCCCCCCCCCCCCCTTTCTCTCTACAACTGCAAACTACAAAAAACTACAAGTATCAGAAGTTCAAAACCCACATATTTCAGTATGTCTATCTGTCAAATTAGAGTATGCATATATATATATATATATATATATATATATATATATATTTGTATCCCTTTGTGTATGTGTGTGTGTATATATATATATATATTTGTATCCCTTTGTGTATGTGTGTGTGTGTGTGTATATATATATATATATATATATATATTTGTATGTGTGTATATATATATACACATAAAGAAAGCAACACTACAACAAATTTGGTCTTTGTTGACAAAAACTATAACTACAAGATGAATTTGTTGCAATAAAATGACATTTTGTGACAAAAAGTAATTTTGTCGCCTTAAGCTAACTTTATTCGACAAAAACTAAATTTATCACAAAAAGTTGTTGCAATATCAATCCCGAGAATTTCCTCATGTCCGGCCATATGGCGGGATAGGGTATGGCGACAAAATTGATTTTAGTGACAAATATATTGTCGCAACTAATTACAATATAGTGACAAATATAGCTTTGTCGCGATTAACTAGATTTTAGTGACAAATATAACTTTGTCACAATTGATGACATTTTAATGACAAAAATTGTTGTCGCAGCTGCAAACAACCTTTTAGTGACAAATGATGCATTGTCGCAAAAGATTGAGTTATTGTGACAAATATAGCTTTGTCACAATTGATGGCATTTTAACAATAAAAATTGTTGTCGCCACAAACAACCTTTTAGTGACAAATGATGCATTGTTACAAAAGATTGAGTTATTGTGACAAATATAACTTTGTCAGAATTGATGGCATTTTAACAATAAAAATTGTTGTCGCCACAAACAACCTTTTAGTGACAAATGATGCATTGTTACAAAAGATTGAGTTATTGTGACAAATATAGCTTTGTCAGAATTGATGGCATTTTAACGACAAAAATTGTTGTCGCCACAAACAACCTTCTAGTGACAAATGATGCATTGTCACAAAAGGTTGAGTTATTGTGACAAATATAGCTTTGTCACAATTGATGGCATTTTAACGACAAAAATTGTTGTCGCTACAAACAACCTTCTAGTGACAAATGATGCATTGTCACAAAAAGTTGAGTTATTGTGTCAAATATAGCTTTGTCACAATTGATGGCATTTTAACAACAAAAATTGTTGTCACTACAAACAACTTTTTAGTGACAAATGATGCATTGTCGCAAAAAAATGAGTTATTGTGACAAATATAGCTTTGTCACAATTGATGGTATTTTAACGACAAAAATTGTTTTTGTTACAAACAACCTTCTAGTAACAAATGATGCATTGCCGTAAAATTGGAGTATTGCCAAATTGGAGATCCACACTGGAATCTTTACCATAAGAAACTCCTGTTCACGTGTCACATTTTGAATTCATTAAGCTTAAAAGAATTATTAATTTTTCAATTCAAACCTCAATAGTTTATTGATGGTAATTCTTTTTCTTTACTTTAATAAGAATTTGAATAATTCTTGGGGCCTGAAATGTGATATCATATGCTCAGAATAATTATAGGTTGTGATTTTATATGAGGTGTTTGGGGATGAGATATTATCAATGAACAATCTAGTTCTAGTGAATTGTGCTTACTTAGGATGTGTGTTTTCATGTGTGTGCTTTTGTGTTTATCTTTTGGTTCTTTTTCTTATGAATCTTGTAAATATTTCTTCATATTTTTTAGAACAAGGTTTGCAACTTCTAGATGATGTCAATTTTGCTCCCTCAGGGTTGCTGGACAAAGCTTAGTCTCTTTACTTGCTCTGGCTTTGAACTTAGATGAAGACTTCTTTGAGAAACTGGCTGGGGGCTTTCAATCCACCATTTGCATTTCTTCGGTTGATACACTATCCAGGTTTAAATCACAAATTAACTGCATTTTATTAATTTACTTTGTTTATATTATCTATTATATGGATTTTTTCGTAGAATTATCTTTTTCTATCCTTTCATCTGTTTCTTTTTTCTTCAATCTTTGGGCTTCTACTTCCTTTGTTATATAAATTCATCTCTGTAATGGTTTTTTTTTTTTTTTAAATAAAGAACTTAGTATTTCATTTATTATTTTATTTCTCAATATTAATTCCATTGCATTACTTCAAGATAGCACATCTAGAAAAACATACGATCTTGCATAGTCATGTGGAATGTAATTGTAAAGTGTAGGTTTTTTTGCTTGATCTACAGTGTAGTGTTGGGATTCATTACACTTAATATAGTAAAAAATTTCTTTTCCACAAATGATAGCAAACTATACAAACCAATCAGAGGGGTTGTTGAAC